GTCTGCCGTGCCTCGTCTCGGAGTTTCCCGTGGGGATTTTTTTGGTTGCGTGTGTGGATTAGCAGCCCTGGGGTGGGCTGAGTGGGCACAGGGCAGTAAACTGTACCTTAGCATTACTGCCGTTGCTGTCTTAAGGGTTTCACCAGATGTTTCAATTTGCGTGCGGCTATGCTCCGCTTTGTGGAGAAACAAGATCTGTGTGATGCTTGTGTGCCCGCATCGGTTCGTCCTCCCTCCTTCCAAAACTTGGCCTGTTGGCAGGTTGCAAAGGAATCAGATACCGGGGGTTTATTAGGTTCCTAACAGCTTTTGTGGAAAGTGGTGACTGCATAGAGAGGCTTATTAATATTCCTGCTAACGGTTGTAATGTGATAATATTTGTTCATTATCAGAGAATCAGTTTTGCAGCTGTATTTCAAGATAAATCCAGTAAAGCCAACCTCAGTTCAGTTGTTCACACAACTCTGTCAGGAAGGATTTGTGTTGGTGATTTACCCATACAATGATGCAGCTTATCATTGTAAAAAGAGTCTGTTTGAAATTAAATTTTGGTGATTCAGGAAGCTCCGGGTGCGTTTTGACAGCACAATTACATCCTTTCTGCGCCCTCAGCACTTGTGTAGCCGACAGTGTTAAGAGTGGGCAGAATTTACGTTACTTGGACAACTGTCTACCTAACATTTCCCTTCCTAAACATTTTAATTTTGCCTTTAAGAAGAAATTATCTATAGTATTCGGTAGGTTGTATTTATAACTACATTTTAAACTCATATTTTAAAACATTTTCTTAAGGGGAATTTATTGCTTCACTAAAATTCAATCTTGAGCTCAAAAGTTTTAAACTAGGTATCTTGTATATGTCAGAATTCTTACTCTAGGTGACTTCTTGCATAATTATATTTCACATCTTTTAAAAGAGCTTAAATGACATGCTGCTTTTGAAGCATGCCTACAGACATGCTGTTGGGGGTCTGCCTGTAACAGCCTAAGTTTCTCACGTCGAGTTTTGCCACTCAAGCTGAAGCTGAGTAGCGGCACTCTGCCTTACAGCTTTTCAGTTATCTACTTAGTTACGTTTTTGTTGATAATGGTTTTTACAAAACAGTGCTGTAGGAAGTACTGATCATCTTGTAAGGCTAATTTTATATCAGGTTGTGTGGTTTAAGGAAGCAGAATCTGTCTCGTTTTTTTTTTTAACTAGGTAATATTAGCATATTTAAAGATACAGACTACTACAAAGTAGTACAAGACACTACTTGCAGCTCAGAAGTGGAAGCTTCATCTCATGTGGATAGCATAGTTTTTATTTAATGTTATAGAAAGCATAACACACAAACATTGTTTCCTTAAAGGAAATATTGTAATCTGTTAAACTAAATGCATCTATCCACTAGGTGTCCGTAGTTCCAAGTAGGATGAAGCTTGGAAGGACAGTACATGATGAAGCTTCAAAGTAACTAATATTTGTTGTGACTACCACAACTACTTCTTAATGTTTCTTTTGCTCAGTATTTTAAAATTACATTCTGGTTTTTGTTTCATATATTGACCCTAAATGTAGTTTTGCTATTTCTTTGAGCCTATTTTACATAATTATTTCTCTCTCTCTTACCTTCCAAACAACATAAAGAATAAAATATTTTTTCTGCCAACTTCACAGGACTTATTTCCAGCCCTGTATCGTGTCTGCAAGTCTTGCAAAAAATAACGGTGATGGTTTAAATGCATTGAGGAAGCGTGAAACTACAGTTTGAGCTGTTCAGAGCTACATAGTAACATTCTACAATTCTGTTCTTACTGTTCATATCTCTCTTTTTCTTTTTTGTTGTTGTTTTAAGGGTTCTAAGTTTGGAATTAAATAAAGACAGAGATGTGGAAAGAATACATAGGAGTGGTATCAACACCCTTGATATTGAGCCTGTTGAGGGAAGATAGTAAGTATATACTTTAGTTGGTAAAAATGTATATGAGACCTTCACTGTGTTTTGGTACTATGGATTTAGTTTCTTGTTGAACACTCAATTATATTGAGCATATTGAGATCATGAGTGTTGTAACTTGTATGCTTTATTAACACTTTCAGCATGTTATCCGGTGGATCAGATGGTGTTATTGTACTTTATGACCTTGAAAACTTGAGCAGAAAACCAAGTTACACATGTAAAGCACTTTGTTCTGTGGGAAGGTAGGTACTCAAAAATTCTATTAAAAGTTCATGATGATGTCTCTTGTGTGACTAGCATTAAACTCACAAATTAATTTGTGTTCTTATTTGTAGGACTGTAGAAAGTAGTGCCAGAAATTTTTGAAGGCTAGCATGATACATTATGGTTTTTGGCATGCAAAAAATAAGCAAGAAACTTTGTTATTATTTATGTGATTTACTAAGTAGCAGGAGCTAATTGTTTTCTCTTTATTTGTCTACTCTAACAGTTAGAAAATATGTACAATGACTCTCTGGTACTGTTTGAGTAGATCTTTGACAGTTCGGAAGTTAAAATGGAGGGTGTTAATTGTAATCATGGAAACTAAGGTAGAGGCTTGTGTTCCTGTAGAACCCACAAAAAAGTTAGTTAGTACTCCAATCTCATATTTTAACACTAGAAAAAAGACAAAAAAAAAAAAACCCAACCATCTTCCAGGTCACAGTTCCTCACCTGTGAGTTTTCTTATTGTCTCATGTTGAAATTTGCTGACTCTATGCCAGTAACTATGAGAAAGGATTTTCAGACTGTTGTAGAAATATTCCTTGTATCCCCCAAATACATGTAATATATATCTCTTCGAATAATTATGTGTCTAAGCAAAAGGAAAATAATCTTTGCACAACCCTGTTCATCTGATTGGAAAAAAATCTAATACAGATTTGCAGTTGTTGGTTTTATTGCCCCTCTCCCTGCTCCCAGTTTAACTAATAGCTATTTCAAGTTCACCAGTTACGGAAGTAATTGATACAGAACTTTGTAAGAACATGTTTGAATGAAGACAGATGTGTTACTGATAAAAATGGGACATATTTTTCTGAAGAACAG